GCACAGGGGAAGCAGCTTGGATACTTTTCCACTGGCGATGGTACCTTCTTCGCTCTCGTGGCCAGGAGATATCACAACCTTCTTATATGCTTTTGTTCGCTTCGCTGACTCCATTATGATTCCCGAAACGTCCTTAACGATGGCGTCCCGAAACGTCCTTAACGACCGAGGTGTTCCAGGATGCGGCGTGGTCATGTAGGTCTGCGGGTCGTATACTCGACCACCTTCGTCCAAGTCCTCGGCGGTAGCCGCACGGCACGACGCCCCGGGGATTACTGCAGCCTCGAACTGCGAAATCATATGCGCTTCGAGCAGCGTAGGCGCGTATCGACTGCTTTATTCGGCTTCAGAAATGGAGAAGCTCCTGTTTATTTCTGGTTTTAAAATAACCGCAAATAATTGAGCCCTCGAATAACTAATCCCATGATGATGAATATCATCATGCCACCGTAATGCGAGAAATTCATGCCCGCGAAATATCTTAAAAATCGCAATCTGAGAAATTTGCGAAATATCGAGCTCGCGCGCCGCCATTACTAAAAAATCTCTGGGGGGGGCGGTCGCCCCCCCTGCCCCCCCCTGTTCCGACGCCACTGCTGCAAACGTACATTTGAAAAGAGAGGTCACAACTGAGGCTGTCGGCAAAGCTTGATCCACGTCAAAGGAAGAAAGAGGGAAAGTCTCCAGACAAAAAATTGTGGTCAGCGGCCTTCGAAAAAGACTTTCCGGAATCGCACTGTCGTCCCTCCACGCGCTGATATGAAAGCACCCGAGCTTCTACCACGTGGTTCATGACACAGCCTGAGCCATGTCGGCGACCGGTTCGCGAGGGGTTGGCGGTGGGGTTACGTTGATGGTCACTCGGATTAGCCCTTGCTGTGCTGAGCTACCGCCTGCAGTGCCTTATCGCCGGCTGGTGTCAACAACGAGAACACACACACCCTGTCTACACCAAAACTACAAGCGTTCACCGCACACGCGTCGCCGCCGCTTTTAAGCTTTTGTGAAATGGCTTTCTTTTGCCGCGGAGAACCGCCTTATCTTAACTACGCGCCTGAAATCCTTCCAGGCGGGCGTACACAATATCAAGCGTTTCGAGAAATGCCCGTGGAGTAGAACTATGGGAAAATTCGGAGCCCGCGATGTCGATATCGTCGCCGTTGTGTTAGTACGCCGTCGCGTACTGCAGTCCCCCGTTGGGGGAGGGGGGGGGGGGGGCGGTCTTACTACGATAACATGGCGACAGCGTTTACACTCTATGTATTTACGCGAGGCTCGAGTATTTGGGGATAAGGCTGCCGGTTGGTGTGCCCCTTTGTGCCTGATATTATCGCCCGTGACGCCAGCGAGTGAGATGGCGACACGCATGACTGCTCAGTAAACAGGCGTCGGCGGCCATGTTTTGCTGGTTGAAGCGAACCCCCTTGTCCTTGACAGCGAGCGGGGAAATGCGAAAAAAAGATTGTATCGGCCGTTTTGCCAGAACTAGCGACGAGTGTCGTCTGCGGTTTCCGGCAACTATTTTGCCATATTCGTGAGCTTAGCGAGGAAGTGATTTTTGCTAGCCACAGAACACTACCACGCAGAAAGGGAATGCTTGAACATGTTTTTGTTCTGGATATATATCAGGGATATATATAAGAGAGAGAGAGAGAGAGAGATGAAGGTAGAGCAGAAGAGGGAATAGCATATAGTGTCCCTTACGATGACCACGCTTTCTTGGAAAAGATCACTGTTTGTTCACGTGGTGTAAGTAAACTTATCGAAGACCTTCCTTATCGTTCCTCGCCAGGCATAGATGGCATTAACACTAAACTATTGAAACTTACGCAGCCGTTCTCTAGCGACATACTAGCTTTATTGTACCAGCAATCCCTCGAAGATGGGCATTTGCCGAGTGATTGGAAGCATGCAAAAATAATTCCGGTTCACAAGTCTGGTGACACGTCATGCTTAAATAACTACAGGCCTATATCGTTAACGAGCATCCCTTGTAAAATATTAGAGCATATCCTATATGGTCATATTATTAATTTTGTCATGGAGAACAACATTCTTTTTGAGGGACAACACGGCTTCAGAAAAGGCAAATCGTGTGAGACTCAACTTTTCGAGCTTGTAACCGATCTTTATGATAACGTTCATTCGCTCCAACAGACCGACTTGATATTTCTAGACTTTTCCCGGGCTTTTGATTGTGTACCGCATCAGCGGTTATTACAAAAACTTGAAACGTTGAATATAGACCCCTCTCTGATATTTTGGATTAGACAATTCCTTACGAACAGAACTCAATCCGTTGTAATTTCTGATCAGTTGTCATTATCCACTGATGTTAAGTCTGGCGTGCCCCAGGGCTCTGTCCTGGGACCCCTTCTCTTCCTTATATATATAAACGATCTCCCTGTTAGCATTTCTTCATCGATTCGACTCTTCGCAGACGATTGTGTATTGTATAAAAAGATAGTACATATAGACGACACCTCGACACTTCAAACCGATCTGAGCTCTATTGCTTCGTGGTGCGACAAGTGGCAAATGCGAATTAACATAGGTAAAACCAAATATATGTCCGTGACAACAAAGAAAACATCAATTAATTTCAGCTACTCTATCAACGGTGTCCCTCTGGAAAAGGCAAATAAATATAAGTATCTGGGTGTTTTTATTTCCGATAGTCTTAATTGGCATGACCATATTAACTACTTAGTTGGGAAAGCAAATCGTTCTTTAGGATTCATCAGGCGGAAGTTGTATTTAGCTCCCCCTGAAACTCGTTTGCTAGCTTTTAAGTCCTTTGTCAGATCGCAGCTCGATTACGCCAGCATCATATGGTCTCCCCACCAGGACTACCTGATTGACCAAATTGAAAGAATTCAAAACAAAGCCGCGCGCTTCATATTTAGTGACTATTCACCTTACACGAGCGTTTCGGCACTGAAACAAAGGGCTAATTTACCTTTATTAAAAGTCAGGCGCAAAGTCTCCCGTCTTACCTTCATTCACAATATTTATTACTATAATGTTAGCCTTAAGGAACTCTTATTACCTCCCCCTCATCGCATCTTTCCCAGACATGATCACCCTCACAAAATTCGTTTATCAAATTGTCGCACTAACCAGTTTCGCAACTCGCCATTACAGCTTGCCATTGCAGAATGGAACTCTTTGCCCCACCACGTTGTAGATATCATAGATAAAAATGAATTCAAATCATCATGTGAACGTTTGTTTCACTTTTCCATGGAGTGAATCGCGGGATGGTGTCCTTCTTGTTTTTTATGTGCAAAGATGGTCTTTTCTCTCTCTTTTTGTAGCCTGGTTGGCACGTTGTTTCCTGTTTGTGTAAGAGTGTATTCCTTTCGAGTCGGTGTATTGCATTGTTTCTTGTTTATTAAGCAAATATGTACGATATGTATCGTTTCAATATTTTTGTCGTAAACCTTGTACTCCCCCCCTCATACAATGCCCGAAAGGGCGCTTTGAGGTAAATTAAATAAATAAATAAATAAAAAATAAATAAATAAAGTAAACAAAGTTCCTAGTGGCCGATGGCTGCATGATCTTTTCTCGGATCACTAGTCCGTAATATGATACCTCTTTGTACACAGTAGTTTCTCCTTAATTTAAGTGTGTGAACGATTTCTTTAGTTATCATTGGCCTCATCTGAATAAAAATATATAAAAGATGTGTGTTGGTTTCATGAAACTGGAACTCAGAGTCAGTTCTTGTATAAAACACTGCTAAGTGTAGGCTTTGAAAAAGGACCCTACTTTGGGGAGTTGTATCTTCTTTCTCAGTAAAATGATGCAACATGTTTTTAATGGAAATGAATGCCGAAATAGAGTATAACAGGTTACCTAAATTTAAAAAAAATCGAGGGTGGTTTTTTTTTTTATTCGCATCGGAATTTTTCTTTGTTTGATTTTTTTTCCATGTTTGACTAAATATATCCTAACTATTGTATCACACAGATACCTTAGTTATTTTTTAAATATTAGCTATATATTAGTAGAATAATATCTGCAAATTATATCATAATGATTAAATTATTTCATGAGATACAGACCTCCAAAGTTTGCCATTTGTCGTTCGAGCAGGCATGTTTGTCAATTTTTAGAAAAATAAATAAATTTTAAATAAATATGATTACTTTATATTACAAGCAAGCTATACCCATAGTTTGCGCCTAAAACGTATTAGAGTTCTCCTAATGTTATCGCTTTAGTTATTCACTCTCAAACGGGCCCCCTCCATCAGTGCGCGTTAATGCAATTGTCCACCACCTCATGCCTTACGATTTTTCCTGTCCCCAAGTATTTTTTCTAGTCAAAACTAAGTTTGGATTCGTTCATACCAGACACTAGACAATAACATATAAAAACATCAGTTGATTTGAAAATGTCGACTAGCCATCCTTTGGTCGATCTTATCTGAAATCACCCAATAATAAGTTCCAGAACCACGTGACTTCCGGTATCCTTCTCCTCTTCTAAATTTGTTCTTCCTCCCCAGTCCTGTTTCGGTTTCTAGCAGTTCCGTATATTGACTTAATTAAAAATATACGTGACGCAGTAGCAAAATAATGATTGGGTAGTTTTCGGACAACATAATATCCTGGAAAAAAAAAAAAAAAGATAGAACAAAAAATGTGGGGATGTCAGTGTCCTTTAAGCGGTTGCAAGAAAGCTTAACGCACTCAACTACAAGATAACTCAAATGTGTGAACCGGCCTCAACCGCAAGATCATCAGTTGCGTGTAGCGCGCTTCCGAAAGTATACGAATATTGAAAATATATAGAACTGGTGCTGGTATTTGGTGCGTACAACTTTACCGTTTCCTCCGAACACGTAAAACAATCCTCGGATCCCCCCCCCCACACACACACACGCACACACGCACACACGCACGCACGCACGCGCACACGCACACGCGCACGCACGCACGCACGCTCGCACGCACGCACACACACAAAGAAACAGAAAAGAAACAACGATCTATATAGAAACTCAAGTTTAATTCACTCATTCATAATTGACAAATGCATAAAACGTCATTCATTCATGCGAAAGCCAGTCAAGCAGGGCCAAAAAGTGTAATGCCGCAATGTTCGTTCGTTATATCGGTACGTTCACCGGCTCGACCAATCGAGCGATGTGAATGATCCGTGGCCTTGCCCTTCAGGTATGAGTCGTACTGTCTTCTGGTGTACTGACGTGGTCTTGCCCTTTAGGTCTGATTCGTAATGTCTCCTATAGTTACTGACAAGGAACGCAGGGCGTAGTTCTTGCTTTCCAGCTACCGCTTGCTAATTCGTCCTTCACCATTCTGATCGGGTCGCAATCTTTTTAACTGCGGAACAATAAGATGACGGGACTCGCAATGACTTGCGCTTCTTGGGCCGTCAGTGACCGTAGCATCGACGGCATCTTTAAAAAGAAACGAAAACACTTCAACGCGTAGGTGACATCCCGGCAGGTTGTGATATGAATATGCGTATATGTACAGAACTTTATCCCTTATGGCGTCCAGCGCTCTTGCTCGTTTCGTCCGTGCCGCCCTTGCCGCATCGATGCCGACGCTAGCCCAGCTTGCTGGCGATAACGGTCAGGGGTTCGATGAAGCCCTTGTCCTTAGCGCGGGCGTCGTCCACGGTCGGCAGGGGCGTCAGGCTCTTGCAGGCTTCCGAACCGGCCCTGTACTTGCCGCAGGCCAGGTCGAGCACCTCGCCGAAGACGTGTTGGATGATGGTGTCGAAAAAGGCCTCGGCCTCCTTATCGCCGCATTTGGTCTTCAGGCCACTGGTGGCGCAGCTGGCGAAGTCGGCGTAGTAGCTGCCAGGGGGAAAATGAGCAGAAAGCCTTCAGTGAGCAGACAGTATGCACGGAAGTCTTTTCTTTCGTGGAAGACCCACGTTCAGTGTGTTACTACTGCTGTATGTTGGGTTACCTCTTCGTTAAAGCAAGACATGTTTTTAATCAAAAGTTTTTTTCTGTCCGTTTGTCCGTGGGTTTCACGCTAAATGCAGCGGGGAACTGACATCGTGTGACCTGACATAACGTTACCTAAACAATTCAGTCTCCACGTGAGATTTTTCGGTAAAAAATTTCTGTCACGTGACCCGATGTTGAGGGACCTATACACTGAAGGCGCAAGAATGCCTACGTTATTTGGCCGAGACTGGCTCAGCAAAATAAAAATCAGATGGCATGAAGTCGTGCAAGTGAAGGCCTTGACCGCGGAAACGATACCGTTGACTGAAAAGTATCGCCACGTGTTTCAGCCAGGGTACGGAGAGATAAAGGGTTTTAAGGCTAGCATTTGTATGAAAGAAAACTCCGGCCCGGTGTTCTGTAAGGCGCGTCCAGTGCCATACGCTTTGCGCGAGCAGGTCGAGCAGGAATTGGCAAAATTAGAAAAAGCTGGAGTCGTGTACCGGGTAAGGCACAGTGAATGGGCTACGCCCCTCGTAATCGTGCCGAAAAAGAACAGCAAAGAGCTTAGGATCTGCGGTGATTATCGAGTCACTGTTAACCCTTGCATGGAAGTTGACCAGTACCCTTTGCCGCTGCCCGAGGACATTTTTGCCACCCTACGTGGTGGAACCGTGTTTTCGGTCCTTGACCTCTCGAAGGCGTATTTACAGCTCGAACTAGACGAGCGAGCACAAGAACTGCTTACTGTCAACACTCATTTGGGCCTATTTAGGTTCAAGCGCTTGCCATATGGCGTAGCGTGTGCGCCGGCACTTTTTCAAGCCGTCATGGATCAAGTCCTGCACGGTCTGCCGGGAACCGCCTGCTATTTAGATGACGTTGTCATCGCAGGAGAGACACGTAAACAGTGTCATGACAGACTTGAGCAAGTGCTCATACGCCTAAGTCAGCACGGCATAAAGGTCAATGCTGAAAAATGCAAGCTATTTCAACAAAGAGTGAAGTATCTGGGGCACGAAATTGACAAAGATGGGTTGCACCCCACGGCAGAGAAAGTAGAAGCCATAAAAAACGCGCCAAAACCGGCTAACGTGACTCAGCTGAAAGCTTTTTTGGGCTTGGTAAATTTCTATGCGAAATTTTTACCTAGTCTAGCTACAGTGCTAGAACCGCTGCATGATCTGCTGCGCAGGGAGACGAAATGGCACTGGTCACGTCAGTGTGACAACGCGTTTAAAACTTGTAAAGAAATGCTGACTGATGAAAGTGTTCTCCAGCTGTATGACGTCACGAAAGATATTCAGCTAACGTGTGACGCGTCAGAATATGGCCTTGGGGTTGTCTTGGCACATATTGTGAACGGTGAAGAGAAACCAATAGCATTTGCGTCGCGATCACTTTCAACATCTGAGCGTAATTACAGCCAGATAGAGAAAGAAGCCCTGAGCATTGTGTTCGGCATAAAGAAGTTTCATAAGTACCTGTACGGGCGAGCCTTTAACGTGATGACAGATCACCAACCGCTGACGATATTGTTTGACCCTAAGAGACAGGGAAGCGCTGTTGCCACGGCAAGAGTGCACCGATGGCTGACATTTTTGGCGGATTACCGTTACAAAGTAACGCACAAACCCGGAACGTCTATCGGCCACGCTGATGCTTTGTCGCGACTGCCACTTGCAGACACTGAGGAACACGCGGAAGATATTTTTTACTTTTCTCCGGTCAGTGATCTGCCACTCACTGCAAAAGACATCGAGCGTGAAACAGCCCGCGACGACCAATTAAGGGTTGTTCGCAACATGATATGGTCTGGATGGCCTAAAAGTGTGCCTGACGAACTGCAGCCATTTTGGACACGACGTCTGGAACTCTACATTGACGACGGTTGTATTATCTGGACAAACAGAATTGTCGTTCCAAAATCCCTGCAGAATGTTGTTCTAGGTTTACTGCATGAACAACATCTCGGAATAACAAAAATGAAAGCTGTGGCAAGGTCAATGGTCTGGTGGCCTGGTATAGACGAAACACTCGAGCAAACTGTACGGAAGTGTAAAATTTGTCAAAGTGTCCTGCCCGCAGCACAGCCTGCACCGTTGTCACCATGGAAGCTCTGTGAAAATCCATGGGAAAGAGTACACTTGGATTTTGCCGAGAAAGAAGGAAAGACGTTTCTTGTGGCGATTGATACTTTCTCCAAGTGGTTAGAAGTCAAGATAATGCGCTCGACGACCGCATACAATACTGTTGAAACTGTCCGTTCTTTATTTGCATCGCATGGGTTGCCGATGGAAGTAGTGACTGATAACGGTCCGCAGTTCCGAGCCTCAGAATTTCGAGACTTTTTGAAAGCTAACGGTGTCAAGCACACGCTCACGCCGCCTTATCACCCGCAATCGAACGGGGCGGCAGAGCGTGCTGTACAAACAACAAAGAAAGCACTGCTGAAACAGTTGCTCGATGACAAAGAAAAAGGAAATACTAGGTCACTACAACATAGAATTGACAATTTTGTGTTTTCATATCGCACAACGCCGCACACGTTCACGGGAAAGACACCCGCAGAACTGTTCCTTAGACGGAAACTGCGAACTCGCTTATCGTTGCTACGGCCAAATATAAAAAGTGCAATGATTGAGAAAACTGAAAAAGTAAAAATGTGTGCCGATAAGCGTAGATCTAAGCCGAGATCTTTTGGGGTGGGCGACCGTGTACTTGTACGTTCTTTGCGTGGTGATGTGGTCAAATGGTTTCCCGGTAAAGTGGTTAACGTAAAGTCGCCATCCACATACTTGGTTGTCGTCGGAAACAAAGTAAGGTTTGTGCACGCTGATCATTTGCGACGATCGTCCATTGAAAGTTCGGAGCAGCCGGAAGGTAGTCCCGAGTTAGACATGCCGCATGCCGCAGACATAGTCGCTACACCTGCTGCTAGTAACTACAGCGGTGATCTGCCTGCACAGCCTGCACGTCACCCAAGTGGGATGCCTACCAGTAAGGAACCTCCTTGTGTCATACGGAGGAGCACGAGAGACAGGCGACCTCCTGATCGCTTCCGGTTTGATAATTTTCAATAGGAGTGTTTTGAATAATAGTTGGGGAGGGAGTGTCGTATCTGCGTGTTTATGATAACAGCATGCCATGAAGTATGCACTTTTATGTATGACGTCAGAGTGCTGTGCGCCTGCGTCCGGTCTATCTTATCTGTATATATTGAGCCCCGATTTGATGTACCACTAGTTGTTGGTCCCGAGGCTGCCTGTGTTGCACTTCGCAATAAAGTGCTTTGCCAGACTTGCATCCCGGCCCCTAAATGTAACACCCGCTAGATTTGGAGGGAAAACTGATGTCATGTGACCTATTCACAAGGTCAGTTTTCCTCCTTATTTAGCAAGAAATGTATTACAAAATAAAGATGGGTTCTTCACTTTCCAAAACCACTGTTTAGCGTCTTTTAAACAACTTTAAACGATATCGTTCCTTAAATACTGCATTTAACGCAGCATAGGACTTCGGAGATTAAGGCGGCTGCCAATTTTTTTCCACTCATTATTTTCAAGTTCGATCTTTATAAAAAGTTAATCGCACCGAAACTAGAAAACGTAGTGTAATCCCTAGTGAATGATACACGCTAAAGATACCAGGGAAACGGTCGCATTGCATTGGCAGTTTTTTTTTTTTTTTTTTTTCAACTTGAATTAGTCTGTCTTTTTTTTATTTCAAAAGCAGATCGGCCTTTTAGTGTGCATAAAAAGTACAAAATGCACTATTTTGGTGTATACATCTCATAAAAAAGGTGGCAAAGAAAAAAACAAGGAGAGCTCAATTTTTAAACGTGAAACGTTCTTTGGCAAGGTGTTCGACATTTCATTGAAGCCCAGATAGAAGTGAAGCCTGGACAAGAGCCTGGCCGCGAGGCTGGATTCTAATTGGTTGGTGGGAGGGAAGGAAGGAATAAGGTGCTCGACACTAATTGGTTGACGGGAGGCCATGGGACCAGATGGTATGCGAGGAGAAGTGAGGTAGGCGAGGGAGAGTCCAGCCACCTGTGCGCACCGAGGGAGAGGACCTTGAGAGTGTGGAAGGCTCTGGAAGATCGCCAGGCTTATCAGCCCGATTACCGGTAGTATCGCTTCGTTCTAGGAACAACTATCAAGTCTACACATGGCACGCGTTAAACCCTGATGAAGAGTGCGGTGAATGTAGGCGTCTGGCGTCTGGCAACGTGGAGAGTCACTAAACGCATGTGATTCTAGAACGTTTCATGTAAGCGACACACATGCCTAGCAATTTACCAACCTCTTTCTTTTTTTCTAGAATACACAATCGCTCGCTTCTTTGACTAGCATTAGAAAGAAAATCCTTCCTCTACCCGACACTGTCTTATAGTCCTCTGCCTTCTTGGCAGCCCCTTTCCTTTTTTCCCCATCACCCAATTTTTCTGGAATAAAAGGAAAAGCGACACAAAGGACGAACACAGAACCAAAACAACTGTCTCGTCTTTGTCCTTTATGTCGCTCTCTTTTTACCCAGGTAACTTACCAGCACGCTTCAATTCGTCGAACCCAATGTTTCCTGTCCGTAGACATTCGTTTTCAAGTTGCGACATAAAACTTTGGATGTATGTGCCTCGCAGATGCAAGCTGGATCGACAGGGACACCCACGAGGCCAGTGGCATACCCACCTGTTTTTGAGGGGCGGGGGGGGGGGGGGGGGGTGGGGGGGGGGGGGGGGGAGGGCGGCTTTTGGAAGCTGCCGCACATTGTTTGCCCTGCCCAGTGGTGGCTGTTCAGCGGGGGCAAGCCACATGCCTTGCCCCCCCCCCCCCCCCCCACACACACACACACACACTCTGAGAACTGGGGAAGGGGGGGTCGGCGGCAAGCGCCCTTGTTGGCCCCCCGGTTGGTACGCCCATGCACGAGGCAGTTTTCTTCCTTACCAGCAGGTGTACGGGATCTTAAGGCGGTCGGCGGCCTTCCCTGCCGATCTGTGCAGACCCACGAACAGGTTGTTCATGCAAGAGGTCAGAGCCGGGCCGGCCTTGTTGATGCATCCGACGTTCTTCAGGTATTCTGAGAACGTGCACAAAACCGCATTAGCACAATACTTGTCAAGAACATTTAAAAAAAAAAAACGCCGAATAAGCATCTGCATTGGACTTCAATTCGTCGATGTACATTGCGCTGGTCAATCAGGTCTGACCCTTTCCTATACAGTTGATCTCGAGGAACTTTTATTATTTTTGTTTCTAAGTTGGGCCTGGTGAATGTGGTTAAAGAATTACTCTTAAAAACAATTGTTCATAGCATAAGAATCTTCCATGATAAATCTAAACTCTAAATAAAGTTGGTCTTAGCAAAACAAAACAAAACTATTGCTAATGACAATGAAGGAGTGAAATAAGTTATGCCTGAGCGCTTTGGTAGCCTAAACATAAATCTCATATTATAGTAGCGTTACTGATCTCGACGTGGTCAGCCATTGGCATCTCCGTCTACTTCACTTGAAATGTCCCGCTCTCATGCGCTTCTCAGGAAGATTAAAAAGTAGAAGAGCAGGCTTTGTTCATATGGAGATGCGCCTATCTTTGGTATTTTAGTCAATTTCATTAGCTCGTACGTCAATAAAAAACGTAAAAGCTCCCATTTTACGGAAATAGCTGTTATAGGAGTTTCCAAGCTATATGCTTGGTGGTGTTCTGTTAACCAGAAAATTTCGCTATGTCATCAAACCACGTGACCACGATCAACCAGAGTAGTTTATCCGTTGGCCGGGTGATTGCGCACGCGACAGCGCACCCATAAAGCTTTAAGCAACCAGAGGTGCCGCGGGCCGGCACCTGTCTGCCTCGGGCTGGAGAGAAACACCCAGAGAAACACCACCGCAACTCTTGCGCAAGAGGCAGAGCACTAGTTTTCTTACACATATAGCAGAGCGATCTGTACTAGTTTACTCGCCGCATATGAACCGACGGGGCCAATCAAGAAGCGCTAAAAGTGCATCCTCACGGCGCGCGCCGTCTTTGTGCATTTGCTGTATGCCCGGCTAAACCAATCACGCGCAATATATGCCCCACAATCTTCCGCTGTTTTTGTTTTCCTCTGCCCATGATTGCACAAAGGCGTCGAGTGCAGTGACGGTGCACCCTTGGCGCAGCTTGATTGGCTTCGTCGGAAAGCGGACCGGGACCTCTGTTCCGAGTCCCACTGACTCGCAGACTCCGAGGATGACCGAACACTTGCAGGATATCACACCGTTTTCATCACTTCCATGACTGTCCATCAAACTGTCATTTGATGTGAAACGGATTATAGGAAAATAGTTCCTACCATGTCCGAGCGTACGCCTTGTACTCAGGGTACTCTGATGCGTATAGACGCTTTACACACGCGCCAAATTACAGCCGCCATTGCTGACCTTTTCTTGTCTTACCGAGATGCCGAGCAACGGAAACGGTAGTTGACGATCCTCTACGAAGGCCGATGCGTTAGAAAAGGACACAGTTGAATCTAATATGGCAATAACCTGGCCTGCTATGGTAATGATGAAAGGAAATAAACGAAATAGCAGTAAACAAAAACTGAAGGTCGGTTATGGCCGCGTCCATGCACAGCTGCTACAAAGCGTCTATAGAAAGGGAAGAAGAAAAGTATTGGCCTTGACCACAGAAAGTAACACCGCCTTACCCTGATGCCTGGGGCTCGTGACATTGCAGATGGCGTCGTACTCGTCCCGAGCCGCCCTGAGCATGAGCAGGATGGTGCCCTTGGGCAAGCCGTCCAGACACTTTACGGAGAAGTCGTCCGAGCACTTGAGCTGGGTCAGGTACTCGCTGCACGCAACAGGCCAACGAAATTTGGTCAAGTTATCCGAATCTTGGATGATCGGTTGACATGCGGAAGTGGCATAAGCAAGAAAGCCCCGAGGTTGTCGAGCCGCGAGCTGAGACAACTTCGAGGAGGGCGATGAACCCTTCACGGAATCGTCCATCGAGCCACACTGTTGGCCACCAGATATTGAGTCTCCCTTCGTGCGAGACGTTTACGATCGGATTAGAGCGCACGCCGAGCGCTGATGCGGCACTAGCGTCGAATACATTTGGAGCCGAGCACGAGTCGTGCACTGGCGCTGCACTCTTGTCGAATACATCTGGACCCGAAGGAGCACCAAATGTTGACGTGCGTCATCGTGTCCAATGCACGCTCAAAGGGCATGCCCGAAATATGGTGGCGTCGGATAATCATCGCAGAAGCTACTGGAAGGCGCACATTTTTGAGAGGGGTCTATGCCATTGCGAAGAGCAGACGACGAAATAGCGGCACGTTGTTTTACACACTGTCAATTCAAACTAGATTTAAAGAGAAAAAAACTCACATTGCGAACTACTTTTGGATAGTCTCTCTAAGCTGTCGAGAGGGTGGCAGCTTCTCGGTACACACCCCGAACACACGTACTTTTCGAAGTACCTAACAGTGTTTCAATCAAGTAAAAATTATTGAACCGTGATAAAAACACAAGGGATGCCACTTTGAGATCTACTGTTATGGCACCTGCGCATACAAATTTGTAGCAAAAAATAATCTAGAGAAAAAAACAGACAGCAGGCAAGAGAAAAACGTAATTTGGCCCAAGAGTGGAGACCACCGAGGGGCATGGCACCGAACTATTATGGTTTTGGTATGAAGTTCCAGTTCTAGTGACAATGTACTTTGGCTAGCAGTGCCTTATGATTTTAGAACTAACCAAAAAAAAATGCCAAGGCTTTTTTTTTTTTTTTAATAAATATTTTTGTAAGGGCTTTACACGAGCCAAAGATATCAGATGACAACCGAACAACCATGCAAGGTAGCCTACACGTTTGGCATTTGCCTGGGGAGATTGAGGCGCAAACATGCCAGGTACAAACCATGCGGCGACGCCTAACTTTGTCATTGGTTCAGGAATTGGGACCCGATAACAAAACTTCTCTGAGCTCGTAACGTGACGTAAAGGTAACATAAGTCGCGTACTAAAAGTTTTAGGGTCTCTCGAAAGCGAATAAGGGCAAGAGGAACGCCGATTGAGTACGCTATGTCCAGGAGAACACGCAACCATACAATGAAATGTACAATTCGTGGAAAATTAAATTTTTGTACAGCACTGGTTGCCACCTGTAGCAGTTTTTTTTTATTTTTTATTTTATGATTTCATGGCACATTGGGGCGTTTTATATATTGCTTTCGATTAACGCCGATTTTTCACTTTCCAACAGCTATCGGTTAAGCCAGCGTTTAAGCGAGTGTGAAATCAAACGGCTCTGCTTCTCACGTGCACTGCTTCTCGAGGTCAGCCGCGTTCACAGCCAAGGTATTTCCGCCAAAGTAAGGCACGAAGTCCACGCCGCACTTCTCCACATTCTCCGTGGTGCATTCGGCCAGGTCCTTGTAGACGCCGGCCCTGCACAGACCTGCGGGGTGGAAGGCGCATACGGCGTCATGAAGGGTCGAAACGAGCGGGACGTGCGTTAGGAACTCCCAAGAATGACGCCTAGTTTCACCTTGCTAACTACGACCAATAGGAGCCTCGAATTTGTCCCCGACCCACCGAGATGAGGAGACTGCCACGAACAGGCTGACTGTTCAGGGGAAGCTTCTCCCTTCACTTTAGCAGAATGAACGCTGGAGAAAAGGCGACCTCCTCTCCACGTTCGCTCTGCTAAAGTAGAGGGAGGAGCTTCCCCTGAACTCTTAAAGGGTCAATGCAACGATTATTGTACTGAAACACGCTCTTGTTTTTCACCACACGCAATAGAAGTCGCAGAAAAAAAAAAAAAACAAGCAGCGTTCAAAATTTCAACTGGCAGCCAGAACAAGCGGCCACGTAATCCATGGAGCCGATTAAATGCCGCCAATGTTGATCATACCCACGCTCTGGGGTTGGCAATGCACGGGACACAAACTGAGTTTTGGAAATCGTTAGGGTTCGGCTATTGTCGTCATTGCCGCGATTGGACACAGGCCACTACCCAAACGCTTGCCAAGCTATCGATTATCGCAGGAGCCCAAATTGAGCGCTCACGCAATGCTCGGGTCCAATCTATGTCCCGCATTCAAATATCGTCACTGGGGAATCCTCCGGTCACCCCCAACTACGTCTTCAATTTCTGCGAAGGAGAGACTGAAAGAAAACGCTCGCTTTTGTCCTTGAAATTGCATCGCAACAAACGAGTTTCTTGGTCATTTACGTTGCGTTGCGTGCGAGTGTACTTCTGTACCACTATACTCCGAGTCACTGCTTGTGTGCAGTGCAGACGAAGGCAACGCCAGGCAAAGGGAGAAAGGGCGAACACTAGGAAGGCACGACGGGAGAGTAGGGCGATGAGACAAATGGAGAGCACTATGAACATTAGAGAAAAGAGGAGGTTTCTCTTCTCCTCCCCAGCCTTCTATAGCGCTTGCACTTTCTCCCCTCGCCTGGCGTTGCCTCCACTTGAAACCGTTACCATTTTTCCCTGCCCTTCCTGATGGCGCCCGTCGTTTCCACAAAACATCTTACCAAGGAATTCTCGAAACAAACCTCCGACAGTGGGAAGGTCTACAAAAGGCGGTGGATTCAGAAGATGGTTTTCCGGTGACGCAAATACAATAATGGACAGCACGGCACGCCTGTTTTCGAACCGGCAGAATTTTTGGAAATCTGTCGTAATCGGAAAAAGTAATGACTACCTTTTCAAGTAACGGTCGTTGATTTTTTCCTCTCAAGTGGTCAAGTAAACTAATTGAATAAATATCAGCAAACTGTAATAGTAATGGTTATCTTTTTTTCTTTTTCTTTTAATGACCCGAACAAGACAGGTTAGCGCGGACAGGGCACCAGTGATTCGTCAGCGTTTTGCTGAGGTTCGTGTCCAACCATTGATGACACGGGTTCGAGCTAAACGCTAGTACGGTGTTTGTGTGGCGCTCATACGTTGTTGGAAGGAGGTCGCACAGCCTTTACTGGAAATGGTTAGAAGCCGGTAATACACATGAACCCTTCCGTCCTAAGGACGAGGGAAAAAGATCGGTAAATTATCGGTTAAAAATATACGCAATCTAATGGGCGTGTGCGCACCGGTTGGTTTGCTTATGGGCAGCGTTGGCGTGTTGTGAGAAAGTCAGTACAACCTGTACAACCTTGAAAGAATGGGCAATTATCGAAAGGTCTTTCGAGGGACGTTTGAGTGGGCCCAACACGTCTATTACGACAACGTAGCGGATAAAAAGAGAGAACACTTGATGCACCCATAGGTAGTCAACCACGACGGCACGCGATCAAGGAAAAAAAGCGCGGCGCCACGAAGAGAATTGCCCAGGATTGCCGGCCTCGCGGAAATTCCCAATATAGCATGGAAAGCTAGAGAAATAAAATCGACTAGAAAATTAAAACAAAAACAAAAAAAACGGGTTTGAAGGACGAAATCAAGTTTCTTTATTGTCAAAGAAGCGGCCATACCCTACACAAGATGTTTGTATCGCCAATCCTCCAGACCGTCCGGAAACCACGGAGTTCACGTCTCCATGGCAGATAGCAAGCACTCTTCAGTTGAAAACCCTGCCTCGACCGAAGGGAGGAATTGAACACGGACGGAATGGCATAAACATTGATTGCATGCGGTTCGTCTTTTGCGATAAAAAAAAATGCAAACGAGAGATCTGTACGGTTTGGGAACGTGGCAAATGGCACTCTTTGGCTTCACTTGGGATGCAGGAAGGGTATTGATTTTTCTTTCTCAACCGTGGCTGTTATCTCTTATTCTGAAGAGGAAAGGAGGCAAACAAGTTCTTATAAGAAAAGAGTGACTGACCTTCTTTTTATTTCTCCGAGTTTTCAGGTTTATTATTAACAAGCGACGTCTTTTTTTTTTTTTTTTTTTTTTCTTTAGGTTGTGTTGCATTTTGAGTTGATCAACGTATCGAGTGACACGCATGAGCGTGGCGGTAATCTTGCTCAATGTCCCTGCGTTAATCACATTGTTGTTGTTGTTTTAGATCTAATCGTATTCTGAGTTTCGTCATCCGCTGCAGGTTTCCTTCTATGGTTCGGTGTGATTAGCTGCCGCCGTGTCTTGCAGGAAACTGAACTGGCATATTCTTCGTTAGAGTATCATGCGTATACCAAAGCAAAGCCTGTTGACGACGCATACAGACACCCACGTTTCGCAGCGATGTTTGTACTATTCTTACCATGCGCCCAGGTTTGCGTATGTCAAGGATGTTTCGGTATCCGCTTTTGTTTGTTGTGGTTTCAGTGCGACGATAGAAGGATGCAGCGATCAAGACGTGCAATGTGCGCGTTTCCCCGAGCGATTATAGAGGTCTAATGACGACCGAGCCGGTTCACCAGAAACCGAGTGCTTTCTTTGCTTTCGTTTTCTGCCGTCCCCTGATTCAAGCTACGTGGAAACGTCTTAGCGGCTTTTCTTGGCGGTGGCGCCCGTGAGGAGACTTGAAAAAATTGCGGCCATCATCGCCATCGAAGTGTTCACACGCTGAATGCCACGTTCTCGAGCGAAACGTACGACTTTACCGGGGTCCGTCTGCTTCTCGGAGAGCTAGTTAATAAATGAAGGTCGCCCAGAGGAAAGACGCCTTCAAAGCAGCCTTTATCACTATGTGAAACAAGGCGCCCTTGCCAAGTCTTGTCGTCGCGGTCAGTCGCAAGGCAAGCAGTTACTCAAATGAGATGATGATAAGACCGGGAGGACGAAACAGAGAGGTTAACCAAGGCGGCCTTCAAGTGCGAGCGTAGCAGACAATAAGGAAGCGAGCTCCGTGCTTAATAAGCCTCTGCTTTCATGCAGTTTGCTAGCATCCTTGCCCTCCCCCCCCCTCCTCTTCCTTTAACTAGGCGTCAACACAAGAAGTTGTTTCTTTAAGTTTGATGTTCAGGCATAGCCAATTTTGTTTTTTCGTGTGATGAAGGCTGAATAGGTCTGAGTCTGGTGTAAAAAAACTTGGCTCTTTAGCAGAACCCATGACCATTCCTTCATTAGGATGCTAATGAAATACAACCCTCGCAAGTTGAGTGGATTCAGGAATATATAAATTTAAGATCCCAATATGTGGTAGTAAATGGTGCTGCATCTGAAACTATTGACGTGACGTCAGGCGTCCCACAGGGGTCGGTGCTGTGCCCGTTGTTCTTGGTTTATATGAATGACGTCGCAGAAAATATCACTTCTTATATGAGACTGTTTGCAGACGACTGCGTCGTGTATCGAGAAATTAGAAGCGAGGAAGAAAACTATGCATTGCAACGCGACCTATTTAGAATACACAGGTGGTGCCAAGAATGGAATATGAAGCTAAACCTAGAAAAAACAGTACATATGTGCTTTTTAAGAAAAAAAGATGGACTTAAAAATGTATACATGATTGACAGTACCCCATTACAAACTGTGTTTGAATTTAAGGACTTAGGAATATACCTAACACCATCCTTGTGTTGGCACAGGCACGTTGATTTCGTAACAGGGAAAGCTTGTGAAGTATTGGGTTTTTTACGACCCAATACCCGACAATTTCCGCAAAGTGCGCGAGATTTGTTGTACAAAACTTATATCAGGTCTGTTCTCGAATACGCGAGTACAGTCTGGGACCCACCAACTGCTGTTGATAGAAATAAACTTGAAAGAGTTCAAAACTTAGCGGCTAGATATGTTTCCGGGAATTATAACAGGCGACTCAGCATGAAGAGTCTGAAGGAATTCTTAGGCTGGGAATCTTTTGGAAAAAGAAGGAAAAAACTACGGCTGAAATTGTTTCATAACATTTACCACCGCAGAACTGGTATACAGCGCGAAAACTACATTTTCTCCCCGCATTACATCTCTCATCGTGTCGATCACGAACGAAAGGTACGTGAATATAAATATAATACAAACCAGTTTTAATCTTCTTTTTTCCCCAAGTCTATTAGCGAATGGAACCAATTGCCTTCGGAGGTTGTTGACATTTTGGACAATGACGCTTTTTTTGCTGCATTGTGAGAAGTGTTCTCTTTTTTTGTTTCCCGTGCACTGGGTATGCATGTGCGCGTTCTGTTGTGCGCGTTCTGGTATGCTCCTTTATATTTGCTTAAATGTATCACATTGATGTACACTTCCCCCTCCACTGTAATGCCAGTGGAGCTGTGGGTAAGTGAATAAATAAAATAAATAAATGCAGTCTGAATTACGCAAAATACACTGAATTACATATCTTCTTAATGTCATTCTGATTATGGCAAATTCAATTAGGGGGCTTTACGCGCTAAGCCAATGAAGGACATCTGGCACACCACAGAAAATTAGTTTGCCTCGCCCGGGGATCTTTCGACGTGCAGCCGTACTCTCAGTTACACGGCGCCTTCTCCGTAATAAGTTTCCGGCAGGCTGCGGAGAACCTCGGCCGGGATTCGAATCCACCATCTGGGGATCTGGCACTTTTCCTCGAAGCCACCGAGGCAGCTGGGTGTTCCACCGAAGTCGATTCCGAACGTCTTACCAGCAGCGGAATTCACATCGTCTATTCAAGCAGTTTAATCGACGGAACCATGTATCGACGGAGCCTGGGTTTGTGCACTGAATTTCCGACGTCGAACCGTGCACCATTAACAAAGAATAACCGCGCACTTTAACTTCCCGCGGAGCTCAAAGATAACCGATGATCGCAGTGAACATTGCAATCCGGGAAATGATGCCTGGAAAGAGAAAGGGAATTCGGTAGAGAACGACAGGATCATTTTTTGCCTCCGACGCTTGACATCAAAACCCCAGCGCGGGGACCGTGTGAATGTACGCCGCATGATATTGTAAGAAATTTCTGCGGCTCAGGCCAGGTTGAAAGGCGGATCGCGTGCACAGTATCATGAACCCTAAGATTGACGATACATTTTAAAATTGATATGATAGGCTTTTGGGTTCTATACGACGCTCTTTTAGGCTGACTCCGAATTACACTGAAAACTGTGTAACCATGGGACTGGTCAAAATTGACGATCACTAGGGAGCTGACGAAACTCCGTTCCCATGATTCCTTGAGTGCAGGTCGGGGCTCTTGGGGGAAACCCCTTTTTCGAGAATTGTAGACTATAAAAAGATATAAAGTGCTGATTTGAAGGATTGTGTGCTTTTTTTTAAATGCCTCGCCAGATCTGGGGTTTCTATACCTGGCAGGGTGTATCAGACTATATCTGGCAAATATACCATATCAGAATATATGTGGCCAACCTTTTTATATGTGCCATATCTGAAAACTTCAGATCTGACCAGATATTCTTTTTCTTTTTTTGTAAGGGAGGTAAGTTTGTTTTTGAAAGTTTGATGCGGATGCTTCTACCACTTTCGGGCACCTCTTTGGCAGATCGTAGCACGATACGTTACCAAGCCGATTTTTGCGGTCAATTTAAAGGCTTTTTCCGAATTCGTGGACACGCTGTGTCATCTAGCGTTCTTTTCTTTCTTCGCACATTGGCTGGCTGACGACCGTATTTCTATGTACACCTCTCCATTCTCCATATTTACGTGTCTGACGAAATAGAATAATAAATAAATAAACAAAATACTTGCCTGTGTGCAGCCCGGACGCATTAGTGCCAGCAAATCGAACCGAGACGCCCAAAGTAGCTTTTATGCGGAGACAAAGTTCGTCCGCTTCTTGCAAAGGGGTTGCGATGATGTCAGAACGCCGAGTTCTTATTGGCTGATTGAAGAAAATAGTGGTTAGACCCCAAGGCATCAAAAGCATTGAGGTCTGCCCAGTATCCTTCCACACAAAGCCAATCAGAACTCGGTGTCGTTCTGACGTCACCGCAACCCCTGAGCAAAAAGCAGACGACTTGCTGCCCGCATAGTCACCGAGAGTTTAAAAAATGCAAGGCGTCAGTTATTGTGTCCACGCTTCTTGTTTCATATTCGTTTTTCGGCGTTTTTATCTCCTTACGCAGTGATTGCATTGACTGCGAAACGATAGTAAGGTGCTCGCTTAGGAGTCGCCACGCCCTAGCTGTCGGCGACTAGAGTGAGTTAAATATACGCTTCGACTAGAGTCACCGAATGTTCTCAGAGTTCCGAAACTTCCAAACTTCGTTTCAGCACCGAGTCGCTGCACAGCAGTGGCAACCGCAATGTTGCGCGACCCTGTGCGGTCGAAGCGAAGCGCGTACAGTCTAGCGTTCGTCCTCGTGTGAGCTCTTCAATCCACGTAGGCGGCCTGTGGTGACTGTCTTTTTTACAGCGAAGCTGTTTATGTCTAGGGTTCCGTGGATTTTTCGTGTGCGTCGACAAAAACTCAGCGAAGGCTCGCACTGCCCTCTCTCTGTCGTCGTTCCAAGCGCTTGCGTGCCTAGTTTTCTTTGCTTCCGCCGGGTGGCGGTCCCGTCGCGCGTGTCTAGCTGTGCGCGAACAAAAACTTCACAGAGGGCTCCCAACGCCCTCTCTTCGTCGTCGCTCCAAGTGCATGCGTGCCTGGTTTCCTTTCCTTCCACCGGGTGGCGGCCCCGTCGCGCGTGTCTAGTTTTCTCCGTCTTCTCGGGACGGCGATAGTCCTCGACATGTGTGTGCGCACCTTTCGTCGGGATGACCACAGATCAAGACAATAAATGTGTTCGTGCCTTTGTTCAGAATTTTCTGTCACGTCTGTGTCGTGTGTTTTGTCTTTCGTTCCGAGCGGTGCGTGACTTACTCCCCGCTGTCTCGGCGCTCCCTCTCGCCTCGAAACACATGGAAGCCGAGTGTTAGGCCTTGCGTCTTAGGCGTACAGGATGAAACGTGGCGCGAAAAACACACGCCAGAAAAGAAACATAACGCATGAAATACTTTGTCTTCAGACTGCGCCGATCAACTTGTAAGTTACACAACATGTGACGCCCGCCGTGACTGGAAATCGAGGGAAAATTGTTTAATGTCGGGTTGGAAATTTTAATGATTTATTTCACGCCATCAAATTTCTTGTAACCCCACTACAACCTTCTTAAACATCAACGCCTTGACGCACGCACTAAAATGAAAATTTCAACTGAACAAACAACAAACATCGCAATGTTCCCCGCGATTATTTAGATGATATTCATAAAATATCTATAAGCTTTAATTAAACTTTTGGACCCGTATAGTCCTTACTCAACGGCTCAATAATTTTTTTTTTTCATTTAATTTTATATGTTACGTTAACAAAATTATAGGTTTCTGCTTTTCTTCACAAGATATCATAATGTTCCCGAGGACTGTATTTCTCTGGGTACGCAAATCAATTCGAATTTTGATATTTCCTTGAAATGTGTTTTGTTCCATCCGAATGTCCCGAAATGTTGGGCACGGTCGGGAACAAGCTCCACTGCACTCATAATACAGCATTCGACGTCGCGTTCCCCACGACGCCGGAGGTGTCACTCAGCCCTTCAGACAAATTTACACTTTGATGACTCCTCGACAACAAATGATCGTAATTTGTAATCTGCGCTACTGGTTCCGACGTGCCCGTTTGTGTGGCAAAAACCAATTTCGAGGCAACTTCGCAAATATCGCAATGTCGCCTTTAACGCAGTTATCTCGAGAGCTGTCTGAAATAGTCGAAAGAAAGCTTTCTTTCCGTTTTTCGATAAACTTTAAAAGGTTTCGCGACACGATATCGCCTGATCTTTCTGAAACGGTGCAGTCAAGAAAACCGGCGCCCCTGCTTTCCCGCAAATCACTCGGGGGACCCATTCGCGGCATTCTACGGGGAGAGCTGACGGAAAGAACGCTTTTTGTGATCTCATACAGGTCTCCACATACACCCACTCAACTCTGTGACGTCACGCATCTGCGGCGGCGCTGCAGTCGGCATCGCACATGAGCCAGAAAAGTAGCCAAATGCGTTATCATCGTTCTTCGCCGAAATAAAAGGAATCGCGGCACCGACCTACGTTGGCTCAAAATAAAGGTAACGCGTTAACAGTATCGAGAGAAATTAACTCATGTCACTCACGCGTTACGTTCTTCATGTATGAATGAAATCGTTTTACTGATTTGAGGTTGCAGGCATACGCACAAGCACCATATCTGAAGAAACACAGTGTCCATGCGGAAACTAAATACATTTATATTTAAACTTTTTTTTTTACTTTTTTCTTTGAGTATTTACGAGGAAGGACGCGAGAATCCATATGACTTGTCACCCAGGGAAACAAAAAAAAAATATTGAAGTGTAATCTTCTTGAAGTTCGAAGTCTCGAAGCCGCGTAACAACGCTGCGTGTTACCCGAAATAAGTAGCGTACGTACGTTATGAGTTACTGTTTTGAAAAATGAAACGAATACGCTAGCAAGCTACAAAAAAAATAATAATAACGCGTTCCCGCCAACACTCCGTAGTCTTACTGCCTGTGCACCGAAAGGGTAAACCATCAGATATGGACGAAAGGGTCCGAGAGATTCAGCGAGAAATACGGCAGCCCAACGAAACGCGAACACGAGGACGGAGGAAGCTCACCGATCGTGCAGGCAAACGCGGCGGCACCGAGCAGGAGCAGCGTACTGTGGTTCATCTTGATCCTCCGAGCGTTTGCGACGGAATTAGCAACATCCGGTGGCTCGCCTCGCCTCTTTATGGCATGGCCGGGCGAATTGAGTAAAGGCAGCCGGTCGCGCGTGGAAAGCGCGGCGGCATGTTTACCTTGAAGGCGCACGCACGCACACGCGCACACACACACCGACAACACGATCGCGCGGACGTGTTGTGATTTCTTCAATTTTCCGTCGAAGGTCGCGGAGAGAGACGAGCCTTCTCCGCGTTTCCGCCGACTGCGGGAAAAAGAAACAGCAAGAACGGACGTCTGACAGATGCAAGGACATGGTCGGTTAAGCTCTGGTCACACTGTGTACAGAAACGTCGGTCTGGAAACATTGGCTTGAGGTGTGTTTCTTCCTCGGGTCCTGTGACATCGGTCGAGCAAGGAATGTTTGCAGACACGAAACGAACGTGTTTAGAAGATGCCTAAGGCACGACCGCACATACGTGGGTCATCGTGCATGCGTCGAACATCCTGTCGTTTGTATAAAGTAAGACTGCGCGACTTAAGGGGTATTCACACGAGGGAGAAATCCCGGGGATTTCTCCCAGGCACGCGCGCATCACGAGATGAAAACGCGAGGCTTTTGCACATCGCAAAGCCTGTCGGTTTCGTCGTGGGATGCGCGTGACGGGGAGAAATCCCCGGGATTTCTCCCTCGTGTGAATACCCCTTTAAAGAACGCCAGCTACGTGAGACGCTTCAACTGGCCAACAAGCGTTCCTTGCCCCGAGAGACGTTCTTTGGCGTCGTCTTCTGCCTGGAGACGCGACGCGTAAAATCAGTCATAGACCGCGCGTAAAGTCGCGGGTGTCGCGATTTTTTATTTATTTATTTTTTTTTTTTTTTGTTTCGTTCGTCTTTAATTTGCACGTGACGCGATGTCAACCCTTTGTGGGTCCATTCGTTCCAGTTTTAGCAAGGGACTCTTTTTTTTTTAGATTATAGTCGGTGACAGGTAAAGAATTCAGGGAAAACTCCTCCTGCGTCTTTCCACTTTAGCACAGAAAAATGTCACCGACTCTAGTCTATAAATTTACGTGTGGAAATGTTTTCTTTCCGAGGTTAATAAATCGATCGCTTTAGGTGTAACACGTAAATGTTTCTTGACTTGTGAAAGGATTTTTTTTCTTGGGGGGGGGGGGGGGGGGGGGGGGATGGAGAAGAAACTGTCCCATTGTTTGCTTGTTTTTTTCTTTCTAAAAATTTTTTTTCGTTAAAACAAATGCTTTGCCGTAAGTTTCTCTCATAAATTGCAACAAAGTACGTCTGAGACGATGTCACCAGATATTTGTTTCTCCCCTCAAATTCTTGCTTTCCATCGAGACCTCACAAACTTGCAAAGAAGCCAGTTTAAAACAATGCCACTGAAAAAAATAAAAAAGAGAAGAAACCTTCTAGCCTTTCCACTTTGGCGAAGAAGGAAGACCAGCGAAGCTGTACTACCATGGTGGGAAAGAAGTAATGGCCGGCCGCAAGTCGGCAAGCCAGAGAGTAAAGGCTCTAAAAGTTGCACCATCTATGAGCGACGGCGGCAAGCGGACAACCGGCAAACACAACACTCTGGACAGCTACCGCCATCTGTGAGCGACGGCGGCAACCAGAGTGTTGTGTCGACATTTCGAAATTTTATTGAGGTTCTTAACTGACTCGACTCCATATTTGAATCAAACTGAGTGTTAAACTAATTGGACGGGCATTTTTTTTAAGTTAATCTGGAGTGCATTTATTGTACAGGGTGAAACAAGGAGACGCCAGGCTCTTTAAATCGACCGGAAAATTCGCTTTCTTAACCTATCGCGCTACAACTTTGTGCAGCGTTGCCCACAGATGGTGCATTTTTTTTGTAAAATTTGCAAAGAGCGAACATACCTGAGGAAAAAGAAAAGAAAGAAAAAGGCTTAGCTCCTATGGAAACGCAGCGACGCCACCGGTCTGCAAACAACACGGCGCCATTTCGCACGGGAGACAAGAGATGGCGCAAGCGGTCGCGACGCCAACTGCCGCCAACGAACGAGCAGACGACGCCGGGAGCCGGCCCCTTTGCAGACAAGGAACTGCAGTTCCTTGCTGTTACCGCGCCTGTCTTTTTTGTTTCTGCGACTGTCGCCGCCTGCGGAACGCGCGCCGCTTTTCAGTCAAAAAGATCGTCTGCTAAAAAGGCCTGCTCTCGGCGCCGTATGCTCGTTCGTTGCCGGCGTTTGTTGCGCCATCTTTTGTCTCCCGTGCGAAACGGCGCCGTGTTGTTTGCTGACCGGTGGCGTCGCTGCGTTTCCATAGGAGCTAAGCCTTTTTCTTTCTTTACTTTTTCCTCGGGTAAGTTCGCTCTTCGTAAATTTTACAAAGAAAAATGCACCATCTGTGGGCAACGCTGCACAAAGTCGTAGCGCGATAGGTTAAGAAACCGAATTTTCCGGTCGATTTAAAGAGCCTGGCGTCTCCTTGTTTCACCCTGTACATCTTCCCCGATTTAAAGAGGGCAACCTTAGGATTTCATACTACCGCTTTCTCGGAAAAGTAATATGTGTTGCAATGAGAAGCAACGAGTATAATTCCCGCAAACTAGTAAACTTCTGCAATGGCTATGTTTATACTGTTAGCGAAATCCGAAAACGAAGGGAGCAACATTGGGCAGACGGCCAGCGATGCGGGCAAGATGGCGGCATGGAAGTGTGCGTTCGCCGCACGTGTAACCTTTAATTTTATTTTCCTGTATTAAAGTCTTTTATTTTCCTAAAAGTTCGTTTAATGTGAGGAAAGACAACATCTCAGAAGTGGGATACACCGAAACCTTCGTGGTGAGGCGATCCTGGAAGTTCAGACTGTATATTGCGTCATCGAGCGGCTGAAAAGTGTAACCTACAAGTTGTGTGCAAGGGCCAAGACTTGTATGGATTTGGGAACACCGACACATCTACAGTGCGGTCCATTGGAACTTCGGAGGTCGACATTGAAATCGACGATGTGGTGTGCCATAAGGTCAAGGTGATTGTCGTCAACGACAGTGCCCTGCCTGTGGACATGCTGGTCGGTAGGACCTGGACGGAACAAGACCACATTGCATACCTGCGCATGGGAGATGAGCTGAGGATTGGCTACCGTGATGACCTTCCATTTTGTGACATCGACCTTGCCCAGATAAAGCCTTCCAAGGAACCTCTGCGTGTCAAGGAAACCATGGTGCTGCCCAAAAGAACTGTGTGTTGGGTGACAGTGGAGACTGGTAAGAGTGACGGAAGTACTCCCAGCGGACACCTACAGAGTGACCGAAATGAATGGGAAGAAGAGGGTCTACTCAACAACCGCCCACATCAGCCAACTGAAGAGATGGGGTGGAAGATGCCAAGAACCGTCCGACCAATCAAGCACCGACGAAGAAGACAGTGTGCCGAGACGCAGCGTGCGTGTGCCCAAAAGACCTCCGTACCTTGGGGACTACGCCACATGAACTGAGGACAGTTCGCTGCCAGGAGTGGCCGAGTGTTAGCGAAATCCGAAAACGAAGGGAGCAACATTGGGCAGACGGCCAGCGATGCGGGCAAGATGGCGGCATGCAAGTGTGCGTTCGCCGCACGTGTAACCTTTAATTTTATTTTCCTGTATTAAAGTCTTTTATTTTCCTAAAAGTTCGTTTAATGTGAGGAAAGACAACAATACAACCAGAAGTTATGCCCGTGCCACACGGGCAACTCGAATTCCATTTACAACGAATGACGTTTGAACGATCGGCCAATCAGCACGCGACACTCCGAGCGTGGGGCGTTCCACGCGCGACAGATCGCGAGCCGATTCGTTGATCACACGAATGTCATTCATTGTAAATGGCATTCGAGTTGCCCGTGTCGCACGAGCATTAGTCAGGCCCCACTGGACGTCTGGGCCCGTTTGCTCGAAGCGCTAACCGCGGCTAAAGTTAGCCGCAGTACCTTGGAGAGGGATTTTAAGATCACGTGACTGGCTCGGTAAGGATGCGGGGAAACATGGCGGTGCCCCAGTGAGTGAGCGGCGCTCGCTTTGGAACTAATATGGCGTTGTGGTTGCAATATCGGGCGCGTTAGTCAGCAACGAATAAAGCAGGAGGCTTTCGCTCTGCCTTATCTCACTTAAACCGCAAATAATGGGCAATGACATCGCCGCATTTTTTTAGATAGTGTTTCGATTCTGGGCATTCCTAAGCCTAAATGATCAGGCCCGTTGCACTCGGGCAGGGGGCGCGAGCGCGTCCACAAGACGCGACCATGTTATGCTGGCAGCACTATCCAGGCGGCGCTGTAACGTTGAATTCTGCACGTGCCATGTTCGAATGCAAGCGTCTGTCAGCATCTGTAGATGCGCGATAACAAAACACCTAAAAAAAGGAAAACTAAAATTTAAAAAAAAAAAAAATTTAAACGAGTTATGCAGCTCGCGGCCTGAGGGTTCCGTTCAGCTTTATTATTTTATCGCGTTTTTTTATACCTTCCGTGAGCCCGTATGTTTCACTTTACGTGATAGCGAAGCTGAAACTACTTGCGAAAACATGTTCCCCTGAACGATGCTCGCACTGCACGAGAGCGCGTGCTTCCTTCGAAGGGACACTCCAAGCTCGGAGCTCGCTCTTGTAGCCTCTGCTACGCTGCCACTTAGAATGGAACGGAGTATAAAAAAACTGCAGCGGGGAAGCGTGATGACGCACGTTCGAAACGCGAGCCAAATATTCTATTTTGCTCGCCTGGAGCGCTGCTAAAACTTGCGAGCTACTGGCCTATAATTGTCGCCATGGCAACATCTTTAGAAAGCGGATTGTTGATAGCACACAAAAGCAGACAGCGTCCCGACAGACTTTTTTCTAAATTATCCAAGCATCGCGAGGAGAACGCTGGAAGTGTAATTCTACGGTTCACGCGCGCTGGCCTTCCTCTAATAAAAGATTTGAAGTAAAAAATCATAATAAGGCTTTAACGAACGCGCGTGCAAGGCAAAATTCGTTTTATACTTTTTGCTTTAGAACGGCTACTACTGCAGACGCCAGCACGTGCGACGCGTGCAACTACAGTCGTAGCATGCACCTC